CTGCCCCTCGACCTGCTGGCCAGAGCCCTGCCCCGCCCAGGACAAGCCTCGCCCACACAGGTAGGACACAGGTGGAGGGGAGGGAGGAGCGATGGATGAAAACATTGTCTACGACCACACGGTGGGAGATAAACAGAACATTTGACCAATCAGGTGCAGATGGTTCAGTCCAAAGGGTTCAGAGGTCTCCGATTGGCTGGTGCCACAACGGCAGCGCTGAGTTTTCCCGCCTCACAAATCTTCACCAACTGTGACTACTTCCCTGCTGAATTCTCATTGGTTGCCACCATCAAGATCCCAAAACTGAGACAGAAGGTGAAACAGTAAAACTGAATACAACCAGATTTGGGTCGACTCCTTCTCGACTCACTCGTTCTCTGTGTTTCCAGAGGAAGCAGTACCTCTTCTCTGTGGTGGACGAGAGCTCGGATTTGCTGTTGCTGGGTTTATGTGTCTCTGAGAACCGCCTCCACTTTGTGACTACATCCTCTGCTGCTGGTGGGCGGGGCCGGCTGAGCTTTAAAGATGTGGGGTTGGACGATAACCGCTGGCACACCGTGGTGCTGGCCATCACCGGACCGTACGCCACACTGACTGTGGACTGTGGACTTCCTCTGGAGCGGTGAGTCAGACAAGACCTCAGACCAGTTCAGTTTAACTCACCCTGGATCAGTTGGGTTCTATTCAGTTCAGCCTGGTTCACTTAATTTGAGACTAGTTCAGTTTATGCCAGTTTATGCTTCATCCTGGTTCAGCTCTAATTGAATCTAGTTCAAGCTAGTCCACTTTGAAAACCATGGTCCTGTCTGGTTCATTTCTTGACACCTGATGAGTTCACCTGGTTCAGTCTAACTCTGCATGGTTCACATCAGACTGGGTTACTCTAGAAACTCAGTTCAGTGGGGTTGACCTGGTTCAGCTTTGTTCAGTCTAGTTCAGTCTGCTGGGGTCTGTGATGGTTCAGGATCAGGGAGCAGCTTTAGATCCAGCAGTGTTACGAGTCACACTGGTGCATGAACTGGTTTCCTGTCTCCCAGTAAACAGGTCCAGTCATTTCCTGGCGCTCTGAGCACCAGAGGGTCCAGGTTCTTTGTCGGCAGCAGGAGACGGTGGAGGGGACGTTTCTCTGTGAGTCTATGATCAGGACTTCATGGTCCTAGTGCCAGAGTTCCTGATCTGCTGCTTCTCACTGCCCAGTCTGTGTTCAGGGTCTACTGCGTCAGCTGGTCCTACTTCCTGGTTCTGATGCCACGCCCAGACTGTGTCCGACCTCTGACCCCAGTCTGGCCGAGCTGTCCGTCCCTCAAGTCCTCAAGTCCACCCCTCTCCAGCCAGACCATCAGGGACAAGTTTACCCATACGGTGAGGGGGGGGTTACTGGTTAGTGTGTGTGTGTGTGTGTGTGT